ACCTAAATACTCTATTACGGTACAATCTCATTGCGTCTTTGTATACTAAACAATAAAATATCTTTCAGTCGTCAATTATTGATGACAGACTTTGACAAGTCGCAGACCTATCGACGGCGGTACGATGGGTCACGAAACTCGGGCAGCGACCATTAGCGACCACATTGCGTGACAAGCTCTACGCGAGCGCTACCAATAACTTAATATTGAATGGATAGACCAATGCCTGTCAAATTTTATGACCGGACACATGGTGAAGCAGTATACTCCATGAGAAATGACATCCATTATCCTATACCCGGGGGGAGGGAATCGCTCATTAAATGCACTTCACTTGATGGTTGCAGTATGTGCGTCGATTGACTGAAGTGGGGTCTCTGAGAGCCAGCGGCAATTTCGACGATGTTTCAATAAACAAAAGATTGGATATGGCTTTGTTAAGCTATAGGTAATCGACCGGTTGAGTTCAGTATATTGATCCCACGCGATGAGTCCACCACACGATCAAGTGCTTTGACTAGATCATCTACATGTCCATTCTATGGCTTAAAATACCTCTATCAACGTCTGCACTCACTAGCGCAAAGCGCCTCGTTTCGAAAATGTATCCTGTGCGCGGTGTTTAAAGTATTCAGTGACACAGGGCTAATCTTGCCACAGCTGAATCTTAAATTTTCACGAGTCACCGGACCCCCGGTACCTACGTTACTTTAACATAGTCCATCTCGGTGACATCGCTTCAGTAGTTATTCCACATAGAAATGGCGATTTTCTTGCATATCGAGTAAACAGGCGGTTGCCAATGCTTTGAGGCAACTTATACCGATTTCTATTGACAACTTCACTCACGAATCGAAACGTCTCTTAATCGAGGAGAACAATCGTATGTAGTTATAAACCTTCTGCGATTCCTTAAGTAGGTTTAAGTATTCTGATGGTCCAGTTATATATTATTATGCGGATGCAGCTCATGGTGGCATAGCAACCTTATTCGGCGTAAGAGCCTCCATTATCGCACGATGAGGTTTCATATCAGCTAAATTAAGACGAAGTCACCACCAGGTGCTTACTCAAACAATTCGGAATGTAAAGCGCGTGAATAATCCATTCTTGTTTACAATTGTACGCGACCCGATCAAGAGCGATCTCAATTTCGTATCTGAGACAGCAGTTGATGTATTTGTAGCCGGGTTAAAGCCTTGAGAAACAATTGCTTTATGACCTTTAAACTTATCGAAGAGTATAATGCTTATGTTCTTTTGCATCATATTGTTTGCCTTGTTCATATTTGCATTTAGACAGTGCATTTGTGGTGGAGTGGCGACCGCTCTTTTGAGGTGTCGATAAAAACTCTCCACTGGCTCCCGGACGACCGAATAAAGGAAAGGGTACTCTATTTACGTATTGTAACCTTTTCTCACCTTGTGGAACCGTCCGTAGGGCGGGTTTCACTCTTCCAGGTGGACTCGAGTCGATGCAGAACTGTACCGTGTTTGGGATAGGGATATTGCGTGGAACCCTTCACGAGATTGCGGGTGTACTTGTAAGGTGATCGATATGAGTCACCTTGATCTCGAAGGTGTCGTCTTGTACAAAGTAGATACCCGATTTGCAATCCTTCTGACCACTTTAGCCGTCTCGCAATCTTGCCTCCTTCGCCTTTATTGATTTGCTGCTATCCGATCGCACTATAAATTTTCAAGAGCTCTTGATCCTTGGCCAAACAATCCAGGGATGCCACTTGATTCAAGTATGTAACTTTTCCTGACGTCGGGTGGCCAGTAATTTGATTCGGAGGAGAAGTTTGACACGTGTACTTAAGGATATTAAAATCTGTTTTATTGCTGAGTAACTAAAGCCAAAGGTAAAACATCGCTATTCTATCTGCATCACGAACTTCCGGGCCACGCGTCTCCTCTCCAGAAAATCGTCTCCTTGTACCTAGGTAGCTTACTTTGAGTGCGCTCTATCTAAAACATTGGTGTGGTCCACACCCTACTTGTACGCAGCTGACTTCATATTGCGATCTCTGGGTGATCTCGTGATCTCTGGGTGATCTCGCAATATCTGGGTGATGTCGTGATCTCCGGATGGTCTCGCGATCTCTGGGTGGTGTCGTAATCTCTGGGTAATCTCGCGATCTCTGTGCGACCTCCTGATGTCCGAGTGATCTCGCGATCACTGGGTGATGTCGTGATCTCTGTGTGATCTCGTGTTCGGACCGAGATCGCAGGTTGGGATAGCGGTTTCAGTTAAGATACGTCTTATATTACGTAATCCTTCTGGTGCCAACCCTTTTTTTACCTTGACACCAATAATCCCGCTATCTCGTCCGTTTGGGTACACCCGTCTCCACTTTTATCCTTTTATCAGAAATATTTTCGTACTTAACTGAGGATGGCTATCTGTGCGCTCCCAAGCCTAGCTCAACGATACAATCTCGTGATTGCTTTGCCACACGTTACGCACATTCGTAGGGAGTTTTATTCGTGGTATAAAAGATTGATTGCCTAATTTTTTACCGTGATTAGGATGATATAATCAAGCCGATCATCTATCTTCCCCACCAACTTAGAAAGAGACGGCAATATATGTATATCTAACAAAACGCGAGGGTGTACTATAGTATTGGCATAGAACAGAGCACACTCGTGTAGTACCGCAAAAAACTAACAACTTTATTCCCTCTGTATTCGTAGAGCACAGAAGGAATCCTCAGGAAGCAAGATTGGCGCGCGAGAACTAAGTCTATCGAAGCACAGACTTCGCTGAAATTAAAAGCTTGCTGAAGCCAAAACTTGTTGGATTCTAAATAATTACTTTTTTTTGAAGCTCGATATAGCATAAACTTGCTCAAGCTCTAAGCTTGTAATGATAACGACATTTATAGTCGACAATTGGATTGCATCATATCTTATAATGCATTAAGTGATAGTGAATGATTTGCGCAGAGAAAACACACCAGGCGATTTTTCTGCACATCCTGGAGCTCGTGACTCCTCAGGGAATTGCAAGTAATGAGGAAACTACATGTATCCGCTCCTACCAGAAGTTTATGCTCGAATAAACATGATATGAGACAAAACCGTGTTAAACTGATGTCTACACCATTCTGGGCAAACGATATTCAGTAAGACCCAAGGAAGCATGTGACAAAGGGTGGACAAGCAGCATCAACGGGAGACAAACATGTGGAGATCCGACACCATACTTTGGTGCTATGGGAGGATGTGGTTGCGCGGATGATTGCGGATACATAAGAAGAATCGCGCTTAAATCATGAAATACTAAAGTGTGATATAGTCGTCACAGGAAAAAAACTATTGATGGTGGGAGTGTTATTACATGTGATCTGTGTAACGGGGAACCTCATCTACACTGATTACAATGTACGCTCATTAACACTTATAACATTGTTAGCAGGTGCCTCGTAATCTCGACTAGACGTACGTGCAGACGAAGCGAGAAGACTTATGTAGATGTTAATATAGAGAAAAACAGAACTTTAAAATCAATAATTTTTTTGGCTTTTCTTCGGTCTCATTACGCCTTCATTACCGATGTACGAATACCAAAGCAAACTGATATTATCTGATAGGCGTACATCAACTACTAAACACTTAGTTGATAGATATAATAGCCAATAGAAATCGATGAGCAAGGTCACTGGGTATCACCTATTCTGTAATGCTTAAGCATATTATCGGTAAAGAAAATAATGCTCGTACTTGAATTTGATAGTGCCAATTTCATGTAATGAGGTCACATCGATATAATCTCGATTTGCCTGTTGGATGCTGTAACCGTATGCGTATTAGTTATTGCAATGGTTGGACATAAGGTGGTTTGCCGTAGATACAACGTCCACATTGAACACATGTTACAATATTCGAGAACTTAGTTGTGCGACAGTACAAGTATAGTCGCTCTACTTGCGAGGACCTTATTCAAGGATGTTCAAATCGCAGAATTTTGTGTCCTGCCATTTTTTAGCGTTTCAACGAGGACGTAAACAACTAATCAATAACGGTGACAGAAGACTAGCCCCCCACAAATATACCGAAAATACTCTTTAAAAATATATGCAATTCTCTTACAAACTAGCATCGGAAAAAAGTTATATTTATGTGATCTATAAATTTGTATTTTCGGTTGCATAGATAGATACGTAAGTTAGCATTGTTTCTTCTGTGATTATCTGGTGTGCATTTTTCTATAGTGTGGTAAGAGATAGTATTTGTATATCGTGGTTTGTTTCCCTTTTGTAATCAGCAAATACATTTTTCTACAGACATGGAGAGTACAAGCAAGTATGTTATTTTTTGCTCCTAAATGTTTGCGCGACACCCAGTCATTTCTGGCTGATATCAAGGCTAATAATGCCACCAAGCTAGGTATTGATAAAAATTCGCCAAATTGACAACGAAAGTGTCATCTGCTAGCGTAATATTTTTTAATTGTATCCGCTTAATATAAAAATTTGAAAGCAATTTATTTGGGCAGTTTTACGTTGACATTCAAATCACAAACAGGCAAAATAGGGTCACCCCGTCACATTCGTTCTACGACTGGAGCATCGAGATCCTGACACACTCTCTGCTGGATAATTGGGTGACTAGTCAGCTACCACGTCAAGTTCGGTGCCTATTCATACAAGGTTAACGGATTGCAAGCGTTGTCGTTCTACTTGTGTGCCTCGCGCGTTCGACGCCGGCGCAGCACAAACGCATATTATCAGTTTAGTTTCTTCTCAAAAAAGTTAAGATAAAAGTTTAGGTAACACCACCGTAGTTGATGTGCTTCGTGTAAAAGGTTGAAGTTAGGCAAAGTATTTTCGACATTGTTTGTACGAAGCTACGAACGAGATCACTGTATGGCTACAGCTCCACTGACTGCGCTACCACGTGTTGCAAAGGGACTTGAGTGTGCGGGTGCGTTCGTCTCGTCGTCCATATAGTTGATCTCTTGCTCCGACCACGCGAAAGTCGTTGACTCGAGCTTCAGGCCTTATACGGCCCGGGCGCCTCGTGCATCGATAAACTTGTAAGCTTATCAAAAGCGTTCTTATCTATACTAGCGACATCATCGACGTACCCAGCCGTTTTGCGTGCCGGAAGGATCCGTTCTCCCAGATATCTCATGGCCTGATTGAACACTTTAGTCTTTGCCTCATCAGCAAAGCCGTCGGTAAGATACAACTCTTTTTTGCCCCACATTATGTCGACAAATTGGTTCGGTGTCACATTCGCCTTGGAATAGAACTTGGTCAGTGACTCCCCAAGGGTTTCCCCATACATGGAGAACAGCTCCCTGTGTATGCGGTCGACGTGGCTCTTCATACCAGGGTGTGTACGAAGGTTAAGCAGTGTCTCGATCGCCCCTTCAACCTCGACTTGAGGCCTTTGTCCGCGAGTCTTCGTGCTTACAAGAGACTCAGCCAAGCTCTTGTAGTCCAAGGCACCCTCCTCCTTCTGCATCGTCTTGAATCGGTCGCGTAGCTTCTCAATCGCCTCTTCCTTCGTGATCTTCCGCGCCGCAACAGTTCCGCTCTCTGACATGCGGGAGAAGATATCGTCAAAGTTCGTGACCCTTTTGAAAAGAGCTGCAACGTAGCCGGTCAATGCGGGGGCGCTTTCTGCAGCTTGTTGCAACGCCATCCCGACCCTCTCCTCCCCATCATGCTGACCTTCGCTGTCGGTTTCGATTCCGGCATCGTCGTTAGACCTCTCTGACATAGACGCGATGGGCAGGGTCACGTTCGTGCGAGAAAAGTCAGAGGGCGTGCTGCCAGCAGCGCCGTTAGCCTCTTCGTCGACAGAGATTGTTGCTCCGGCAGTGTCTGCAACAAACATCGCCAGGACTGTGAGCACGTAAATGAGCAAGCGCATGATGGGACCAGCGCACTGCTAGGCGAATTGCAGAATGAGAGACAATTGCCGTCGCGATGCCTTCGGCCGCTATTTGTGTGGACATGCCAGGAATGTTCTTTTTCGATTCTCCGTTCCCAACGAGAACTGGTCCGGCCTTATTCTGGGCGTGCACAGGATTGTCGCAGAGATAAGGGCGAGTCTGCCTTTGTCAATAAAACTGGCTTCTATCCAAATAAACAGATGGTCGCTACCACGCACACATGTCACGTGCACATAGCTAGCACCTGACCGATGATCTGAGCTAAACGCAGATAGGCTCATACGGTGTTCTCCAAAAGAAAGGACGACGAATTGCACTCTTTCGCGTAAGTACAAGGGGCTAAATCAATCAGAGCGGAGTCAATAATGACGCTAGACATTTATTAGTGTGCCCTATCCCAGTCACGTCATGGTGGCCATCAGCTCTGATGTGGCAAGATAGCCAGCAGGATAGTCGATGGGCTCCCGACCAGAAAGCTGGCAGAAGCTTGTAGCAGTGGGACTGGTACCAAACAAATCTGTTTGGCTGAAGATAGAATGGCAGTGTGCTGCAAAAACGGACTGCATGTACAGAGGAAGAGAATACTCGCGCACAGCAAAGCGCGGGCGCGTGTGCCTCTAAAACTGATACTGCTGGATTTGATGGGTTCTCGACCATGTTTTGCACAATTTGCATATTCCTGCTACCGGTTGATCACGAGTTTGAATCCCCTATCCGCTTAGAGTTTCTAACGCTAGCGGGCATCCAATAATAGCGAGCGGAAGACCGATCAGCATAAATCCATGTGTGGGGAATGCCAAGAGTCGAACAATCATGGGTGTCACACACGGTATACTCAATTAGATTTTACGCATGTAGTATCCATGAAACCTCGTGATCTACCAAACGTGCATATGTACCTAGCGGCACCATGAGGGTGATGCGAAAACACTGTGCCAAGCTAGACGACGTTTCGCCAGCTAGACGAAGCGTACCTGACAGAACAAAAGCGGAAAAAGTGCGGCTCTCGATGTCATCCCTAGTAGGTCACAACATGCGCGACATGACTTGACCAGCGTCGTCGGACTTATTGACGCACAGAGAATGAACGACGAGAGGATATCCAGCAAGTCTGGTCTGAAAGTCTGGCACGGTCAGAACGATTGGCCTTACATATCTCTCATAGAATTCACATCATTGTGATGTCATATGTATGTGCTCTAGGAGAAAAAGGACAATCCACTGACCCTCTTTGTCAGTTTGGTTTGCTGGCTTTTTACCGTTCGTGAATCGAGTAGAATTTGCAGAGCTCGTGAAATCGGTCGTGTAAGGTTCTTGCGTGAGTCTATGAGAAAAGCATGGACCTCTCTCTCTGCCTCCTTTTAGTGACTGCTCGAACAAATCGCCTGGAGTTTTGACCCCAACGCGCCGTATTAACAGACTTCCAGAGGCATGCAGGCTCTCGTTTCGTGGGCATAAATAGTCCGTCGCCTTCGTGCTAGTTTTGCTACACTCAAACCGTCTGTCGGCTCGCGGAAACGGATACTCCATCAAGGCTAGCCAGGGACTCTTGATTCAGGCCGTCTGTCGTCTTGCGGGAATGAATAGTTCATCAGATTTGTACTGGTCTTGCATAATTTGTAGCCGTTTGTGAACGACGTACAGATTCGACACGAAACAGCTGCTTTTTATCATGCTATGCGTCCTTGCCGCGCTTTTCCGTTGCGGCACAAGTTGAGAGAAAGTGCGCGGCACATGTTTGGGACTGTCCTACAAAGGCGCGCAATTGTCGAAACAAGTTTTCCCGTTGCTGGACGGGAGCTACTGACCCTCAACTAGCGGGGTCCGGTCGCTTCGATAACTGTGCTGATCGTAAAGCTCTGGCGGTACAGGCTCTCATGCTGGATCGGCTGTTCTTGAGATTTAAGACGATGTCGAGCCGGAGGAACGCGCTTGGGAAAGGATACGATTTCTCACGAGCTCAACCTGCGTCCTACGTGTATAGTGTGAGCGCAACAACGCCGTGTTTCGAGGCGTGCAGTCCATGACGTCTCAGAGCGCCCACCGCTTCTAGACGACAGGCTAACGGCAACTCCGTGCGTTCGTCCAGCGTGAAGCTCGTCCACACGCCTGACTCCTACTGTTTTCCCTAGTTCCTAGCGACGACTCGCTCCTCTGGCGGACTGCTGTGAGCCTCAGCCACACCCGGCGCTGTATTCCTGGCTTAGCCGTTTTCAGACACCTTGCACATGCTTATATTGGAATAAGACCGTCATAAATCTATATCTCTTTATTTGAAGCTGTCTTATCTCTGTAACGGGGCACCGACAACTACGTACTGGTCAACCAGTACGGAGTTTACTATCACTGATTGTAATGATAGTCAGTGACCAGCTAGGTGTAGAACTACACAGAGGAAGGTAGAACGACGAAGGTGAAAGACTCTAGTCGAAGGAAAAGTAAAACTGTTATTTAATATAATCAAGTCCTATAACTCTTGTATCTCTGTTTGTCCTGACTTAATTATACTAATGTAACTAAATGTATGGTGACGTCTACTCACCACCCATTGCGCGCGTCTAGCAGCGATTGGTGGGTTGATATCATCGCGACATCAACCAATGAGTAGACCCTTCGGTCATCTTCAACAATATCATCATGCTCTGTGATATTGTTGAAAGACTATTAAACGTAATGTTCTTTATCGTCATTTTATCCTTAGTGACAATATCATGTAACGGGCTACCCCGTTACATCACCCCTCCCTTAACTGATAGTCACCGAGTGACTACCGAAGCTATTGTGGCCACCGTTGGATGCCAACGGGACGGGGAGTACTTGTTGGTTGGATTCATTCATTCTAACTTTGCCTCGCATAGTCAACACGTCTATGCGGGGTGACCCAAAGACGACACAGGCTGTTGCTGCGCCCGCCTCTGCGGCAGAAGATAGTCGTCTGATGCTCGTTCTCAGCCTGCAGCAGGTGTCGCTGCAGGCGCATATGTTATCACACCTCATGCCCACAGTGACCCCGAGTTAGGGGTCAGCTGCTCTGGCTAGTCAGATGTGTCTGGCTCGGGAAAGCCTTCAGAAGCATCGCGTTCCCCTGCGGTGCCTCTTTCATCAAGAGACCTGTCGAAAGTACGGACTCGCGACATGCGTCACATTCTGTTCGGCAGTGATGATGAATATGGTGATGAGTATGATTACTCATCACCGCGATCAACTCGTGCACCTTTGCACGAGCGATTTGACGATGGTGCAATCCGTCGTCATACTGATAACCGTGGTACCGGCAAAGGTGCCACTCCAAAGCGTGACGAGCTGAAGCCGTGGCGTTTGTCTGAACAACTCATCAATAGCTTTTCTCACGAGACAAGTCAACACCATCGAATACCTTTATTTGATGAGAGTGAGCTTCACGGCTTGAGTTCCAGCGCGAAGAACTTTCGCGCTGAAGTAGACTTTTATATCGATGCTTTCCTCAAGCATCGATGGAACAATGGCAACCAAATGCGTGACAAGGCCTCGCATTTGGCGGCGTGGAACGCGTTCGTCCAAAATGTCAAGAATTTTGGACGAGAAGGATGACTTCAAAAACTTGAAGCAGTACGCATCGAGTTTGAGACGCGAACGCCAACCGGTGCAAGGTACCGGCTGCATCGTTTGTCGAGTGAGGCAGACATTCCTTGCCTCACTTGAGGAGATCCTTGTGCGAGTTATGTTGACAACTCGTAACGTGCACATAGGGACGTGTATTCCCTAAGTTCACCCTGGGGAAGGGCACACATCTCGGCTGAGATGCGGGACGCGATTGAAAACTTGCAATCCGTCTACAAGCGCCAAAAGTGCGTGTTTACCGATGGGCTCTCGGACCTATCGGATGAGTCTCGTCATACTGGTGGACGAGACCTTCAACGTCAGCCATCAGCTGGGATCGAGGTTACCAGCTGTCATAATATGGTGGATACCCACGCCAGCGGACAAGGTAACTTGTCCGCTCCCCATTCTTCACGCGGTGGCTCAAGATACGCCCCACGTGAAAGCGTCTACCACCGTGAGAATCCACCAGTGGTTCCGTTTGCGGTGGAAAGACAAGGTCTGGCTCAACCGCCGGGCCTACAAGAGACTTTGATTAATCATTGGCGTTACCTGACCGAGTTGATGGTGGACGTTGATCACGAATACGATCTTCGGCACGACATGCTGGAGACCGTACGACGTCTCCGAACCGATCGGGAGAAATACCGATCGGATTTCGTGTTCTTTTAACTCGAGAGAGAGCGCGAGAATCACCGTTTGCGCGACGATCTAGAGGCGGCTCGTCGCGAGACTGCGTCGCTGATGGACCAACTTGAGTGTTTGGTCCGTGATCACAAGAATCTGTTGGGGATTCTTGAGCATGCCGGCTGTCTCCGTTCTCGCAAGAGACTTCGTACTGATAGTACGGGCGGAGACGACCAACATAAAACGTAGGATGCGTCCGCATCCTGCGAGGCAACTCAATCGTGTATGCATTGCCCTTGCGGCGCAACACACGAAAGGGACCAATGTATTTCGGCAAGTAGTAAACTACTGCCGACATTAGTGACTACATATCCAGGTAAGTTTACCGTAGACAGTAGTACTAGGTCTTCAACCTTAAATGAAGGAACATTTGCTCTTCCATTCTTGTCTACGTTCCGTTTCTGGCGGTCGACCGCAATTGCGATGGAGTCCTGAACGAAACAGACTGCCGCCTCTCGAGTCAGCAGGAAGTTCTCTTCTGACTCGTTGTTTTGTCTTTCAGTGCGCTTCGTGCGCACTGCTAAGAGATTGCTCTCTTCTTCAGCAAGGTTGCCTTCTTCCTCGCTGGAATAATCGTTGGCGATGCTGAATATCCCGGCATCGTCATCCTTGTCTGAAGTAGCAGCAGCGTCATTGCTACTGCTAAGACCAACTTCTTCGATGTCGGTATTATCGA